AAAATAGGTGATATGGGCAAAGAATTCACGGTGTAATTCAAGAAGAAATCTGCCAAACCATTTAATAAGGTGTGTTACTTGTTAAGTCACACTTAAATATGAAGTAAGTACTACTTATTTTCTAGGGTTTTTAAAGGTTACTTAAAGAAAAATGTATATTATATAGGCAGCACATAGTAGTCATTCAAATAAATCATAGTAATTATTATGAAGATTATTTCAACTATAATGCAAGCAGAGAACTAGAATAAAAGATTAAAACACATAGGTGTAGCCCATGGATCTGTCTAAATCTCTGTGTTCTAGAACTTTGATTTTTAAAGCAAATACATAAAATTATATTTATACGTAGATCATATAATTATGTAGGTCATTAAATTTAAAAATACATGTCACATTACGGTTTTCGGGCAAACGTATTTTCAGAAATAGGCCCGCCCTGCCCCCCGGCGTCCCGGGACCGCAGCCGGCTTCGCTGGCAGCTTTGTTCCTGATCCTTCCAACTACCTGTCTGAGCAGCGGGCCGGAGAGGGCCCCAGGAAGGACCGGGCGCTCGCGGAGCTGCTCCCCACCAGCATCCGAGGGGCGCCCCTAGGGGAGCAAGGGGCTGGCGCCCCGTCTTCTCCCTCCTCTCCTCTCTCTTCTTTTGTTGCCTCTACTCTTCGGCACGACACAGCCCCGGCTGTTTTCCCCCTCCCACTTGGGAGTTTGCAGTGTGGACGCCCGGCGAGCACAGTAAGTTGTCCCCCAGCGAACTCGGGGCCCGGGCGCAGCCGGGCGCGCCGCGGGACGCGCGGACGCCTCTGTCCGAAGCCCTCGCGCTCCAGCCAAGCCGGGCTTTGTGACCCGTCTCCTCGGGACCTCCCGTCTCCCCCGGACGCGGGCCGCTGGGGCTCGTCGGAGATGAGCATCCGCTCCAAGGCTCTCTTCCTGGGGCAACCCCCGCCTGCTCCTGCCCGGTGCGGTAATCAGCAAGCGTTAAAAGGAAAAATACGATTCTCCAGGAATCAGGGTTAGAATCAGAAGGGAGGTGGGGGTAGAGAGGATGTCCACACTCCCTACGTCATTTATAAAAGAGAGAAGGGGAGGGGGGGCAGAGAGAGAGAGAGAGAGAGAGAAAGACAGAGAGAGAGAGAGAGAGAGAGGGAGGGAGAGAGAGAGAGAGAAAGAGAAAGACAGAGAGAGAGAGAGAGAGAGAGAGAGAGAGAGGTGTCCTGTTTCCCAGCTCATCCCTGTCCTCTCAACTGTAAAGTAAAAATGACAGGGAAAAGAGAATTTCAAAGTGGAATTTCCCCAAGGAGTATTGAGAAAGTGAGAAAGATTTCAATTATCTATTGAAACGAGGCAGCCAGGATTCAGGAAGAAAGCAACAGAAGAGCAGACGAACCAAGTGCTGTCTGAACTTTGGGATCCAAACAGAAATATTTTGGCGGCGGCGGTGGTGGGTGTTGTATATTCTGAGTTTTGCTGCTTAGGGGTACACAGAACCTGTCCAGGAAGGCTCTGATGTCCACGGTTCCAGTGGCAAGGTTTTTCTCCACACACACAGCGTTCACTTGTGCTTAAACCTACAGCATACACTTTTGAAATAGAACAATAAAGACAAAAAATGTACAGGTCCCCTGATATAAATGTGGACACTGACTATGAGGTGGGGATGGGAGGAGAGCCAGGAGAAATGTCCCCTAAGGGACAACCCTGCAGTCGCCTGTTGGAAAGGTGACCTCTGTCACTCTTTACAGTCAAATAAGGAATCTGGTTTATGATCAGGGTGTTAAGAACCCACCTCCATCCCCCTGTCTATTCCTGCTCAGATTCAGTATATTAGAAAACAAGCCATGATAAAG